CGGCAGTGTGAGATCATTTTTTGTTGATTCTAATTGCTTTCATCTACGTAACTCAAGTCTGTATGTTTACAGAGGCTCTAAAGCACAGGTGTCAAACTCAGTTCCTGGAGAGCCGCAGCTCTGCACAGTTTAGTTCCAGCCCTAATTAAACACAGCTGATCAAACTGAGTGCTTTAGGCTTGTTTGATACTTTTGTTTCGGAACCTGGCGCCTTTTCCCAGTTAGCACGGTTCGCTTGGCATATGTGAATCCAGCAATCGTGCTTAGATCCGCATCAAAACAATCGATCCAAGATCGCAGGTCTCATCAAGATTCAAACAAACTTTGGAGCAGATCGATTCTAGTGAGAAAGCATTACAATCCGACACAGGCTACATCACAGTGTATGATGGATATGTAATAGCCGTTTATGACTATATAAAGAGAGAATGATGAGTAGGGCAGGATGTCATTCTTACCGGTAAATGTGTGTTTTATGTCCAATGCAAAAGTGAAAGCATGTTTACTATTAACAAGAGCTGTTTATCCTTTAGAAAAATCGACCAAACAGCAGTCTTGGTTTATCTGTTATTACTCTTCGGTTTATCTCTTTACTAGTGTAAAGCCTATAATGCATAGGCCAACTGCTATGTATGAGAAAAACTTACCTCTGATTTATATTTGTTGACGATGTCTGTGGGTGTCTCCACTTAAAATGAACGCGCAGCTTTTCGCTTATAATGTCTTTTTGCTCATTGTCATACATTAAAATAAGGACGCATGACAGCTGAGCGGGACTCTGCAAAGAAAAACCCTGAAACTCTGACCAATGTGAGGAGAGTTTACTAGCACGTGACTTGTTTTAGTCATTTTGGTCCATTTAGAAACTTTGCCGTGTGAAAGCGAACCGCACAGAGAACAACGTGCCACATTTGAACACTTTGAATCCGTGTTTCGGAAAAAGAAAATTGATCCACAGGTGTGAAAGCACCCTAAGTGTATTGAAGCAAGGCTGGCACTAAACTCTGCCGAGCTGTGGTCCTCCAGGAACTGAGTTTGACACCCCTGCTCTAAAAGCATATGTATTTGCAGGAAAGCTATGTATTGTAACCTTGTTTTACTCCAAGCTACTTTGAAGACTCTGAAGTAGGTAGTGTGATTTTGAAAGTCAACATGAAATCAAATCAACCCATTTCGTTTAGCATTGTTTAGGAACATCATTCACATAAATCAGAGGATACTATTACGAAGAAGGTTTGTTTTGGTATTCTTTCATTGCGCCACGTCTTAAATATTAGATTTTTCAGCTGACATCACATCGGTTATACACACAAATGTCAAACAGTGCCATTTACACTAGTGCACTTTTGAATAAAAAGTTTTTTTTACAGCATCTTTACCCACACTATTCAACCAAGCACATGATACGTGACCATTCATGCTATTTTGCCAGTATCCATACTTGCAGTCTACTGGTTTAGTTTTGGTCATATGAGAGATACTTGACCATTCAGGGAACTTTATACAAATCTTCGAAAGACCAATCAAAGAGCTATGGTGGATAGCCATGCCTCTGCATTCATAGTTAGTTTCAGTCCCTCTATTTAAGGGGTGGCTAAACTGAGTCCGGGACAGCCGGTGTTCTACTTAGTTTTGTTTCAACCCTAATCAAACACACCTAGGCTAGCTAATCAAGCTCTTACTTGACCGGGGTCCCGGCCCACAAGGGGGCCTCAGTGAGCTCTGTGGGGGGTCACGTCATATTTTTAGCAGTGGACAATTAGGAGATTGATCACGTTGCCTTAGTTCATTTTATTCCCTGGGTGCCAAAAAAAAAAAAAATACATATTTGTAATTCATCCTCCACAAAAAAAGCATAAATGCTAATGACCCAAGCATACTGGACCCAGGTGAGGAAGCTCTAGCGACAGCAATACTGGAAACACGAAAGGCAGGAGGTTGTTACCTGAACTGTGGTTTTATTTCATTCTATTGATGCAAAGCCACAGAGCATTGTCTGCAGCAAAGTTCTTGCTAACGAATGAGGCCGTAAAAAAATTAATAAGACATTTGCTGACGACTCACCCCCAATACCGTAACAAGCCCAGAGCCTTTTTTGAGGGCAAGGCAAAATAATTAACACACAATCCAAAATGAAAAAATGTGCCACTAATTGGCAACTAATATAAGGCTTATTTAAAAGCCAAAAGGCTTATGTTTTTCAGCTACAAATGGCCTTCTGATATTTTGCTTTTATATTTTACATTAGATATTATTTGTGCATAAACATATATAGATATAATAATAAACATATCATTTTTTTTTGTCATCCTTACTGCAAACTTACATGTGCAATAATATCATTAAATGTTGACAATATTTTTCAGGGGCAAAGAGGGTCTCAAAAAGGTTGGGAACCACTGTTCTAGAACAATGGTACTAAACTCAATTCCTGGAGGGCTGCAGCTCTGCAGAGTTTAGCTCCAACCTCCTCCAACTCACACCTGCTTAGTCTTTAGTGGTCTCGAACACCTTGATTAGTTGGATCAGGTGTGGTTGATCAAGGTTGGAGCCCTCCAGGAATCCAGTTTGATACCTATGTTCTAGAATTATCCATGCAGGTGGGTTAAGGAAAGTTGGAGCTCAAACCAGAAGGGCATCGGCCCTTCAGAACTGAGTTTAGACATCCTAGATATAGAGGGAATGAAACTAACTATAAATGCAGAGGCGTAGCTATCCACAATAACTCTTTGATTGGTCTTTTGAACATTTGCAAAATAAAATGGGGGCTTCTAGCGTTCTCTAAGTGCTCAGTTTCTGACAGAGTAGCGTTAATGCCAGGCCTAATTGTAACAAAACGCAAGTGTTTCAAAATGAGTACATTTACACATAAGTGTAAATGACACTCACAAGTAATACTTTAGATTCAAGGTTCAGTTTAACATCGCTTGGTGCTTTAGGTGTCATAAACTAACAAAATAATAATTGTTTGCAGCATTTATGAATTATATTAGATTGTTTTATGAGTTGTTAAAATATTTGTTGCCAAGTAGGTTGTATGTGTGTCCAAGACAAAAAGGGCTTTTCAAGCATCAGTGTGCCTTTTTTTGACCAAAAAATAATAATAATAAAAAAAGTCACGTCTCGTGTCTCACACACACCAAATCTTTTGAGTGCAGTTTCATGTTGACTTCAACATTATTTCTAATAATTATGTTTCATTCCTTAGATAAATTCTTATATTTACACATTTCTCTTAATTAGTATTTAAAAATCACACAATACTACTAATAATGAAAACTTGAGTAGCTACTGATCATTTAAGGAGAAAACAAACTACTTATAAAAACACTGAAACTCGTGGAACTATTATATAGGAAAAGGAATATTGCTTTAATACTGATTTTTAAACTCTATGGTAGCTGCACTACATTTCAACTGTGCTTACTGGAGAAAAAAAGAAAACACTAGCGCATCTCACAAACATCTCTGAACACCAAGGTCTGTAATGGTCTACCACAGGATCAAGTGCACGTCTGTAGGTTTGTAAAATGTGGTGTAAACCACCGCGTCTTGTTCGTCCCTGAGGGCGCTTATTTCGCCACATCTTCAGCCTGAGAACCAGCCTCAGAGTGCTGTATTTCATGTTTAGTTCACGAGGACACAGCCTTGTGGAGCCTCTACGGTCTCCATCATCTCGCAGTCCAGGAAAGGGGCTTCAGGTGCGGGTTGAACTGAAGGGGTCTCAGCTTTACCTGGGGGCAGAGGAGGCTGGGCAGGACTCCATGCGTACTGGGGCTCTGTAGGAAGGGATGGGGTGTAGTTGCTGAGGTTTTCGGGTGGCGGAGGCCACTCTGGGAAGCGGGCAGACTTGGGACTGTATGACAGGGATGAGATGCCAGGCTCCAAAAAAGGGGTTAGGGTTTGGGTCCTTGTAAAGGGAGGGCTGGGTTGGGGGCTGCTGCTGATCTGAGGGTCCTGGGCAGGGTAAGCGTCCTCAGCCAGCTGCATCTGGTGGAAGTAAGCCTGAACCTGAGACTGCTTCTGGAGGTAGAGCCTCTTCTGTTGGAGTCTGCGAAACAGGATAACAGATAAGCTGAAATTCTTCAGGACAAGCTTCGGGACGTCATTGTTCTATGAATGCGGTTGTTCCTGACCTGTGTTCCTGGAGTTGTTGCTCTAAAGTGCGCGGTGCAGCCTCTTTACAAAACATCTGGCCACTTCCAAGGCCGCTTGCCAACTGACTGGCTCTCTGAATTCAAAAACAAAAACAAGCCATTTTTATATTTGTAAACTCTAAAATGGTGCTAATATTGACATCATTTACTTCATAGCTTAAGCCATACAGTATATATACACACTTGATATTGCACACAGACCCTGAGCGTGCGTCAATACTAAGGATGTCTAGATCCGATCACATGATTGGAAATCGGGTCTGATTACGCGAGTATGCGCGAGTATGTCTACCGTCTGAAAACGACAACATTGCCTTAGCAAACTGTGAGATATGTAAACTTGGGTATTTTAAGTTGAGGTGCTGTTTGTTTTTATATTAGATTTAAAAAAAATATTTACAATATTTTGGTGTATACGGTGAATTAAATAACAAATAAGGAACATCCTGGATCGGTTTCTTCATTCTTCTTTATCGTTTTGTTTATGAAATATAATAAAAACAAAACAAAACAAAACAAAAAACGTAAAAAAAACCTTAAACAAACCATAGGAAGGGTATAAGAGTAAATGTTGGCAGTTTTAAAACCTTGACTTTTCTAAACGGCTAAAAATGGGTCTCGTTCCATGCCTAGTATCACTGTGTCCAAACAATTTTCACAAAAACTCATATTGCATGTGTGGACAATGCAACCTTTCGACCATGAGAATGGGCATCGTTTATGTCTGCAGAAGGCAAAAACGACTGAATCTATGTCTGTGCTGCTATTTGGAAAATTTGTATAACACTGCCAATTGGTGATTTATTGCACTGTGGTGACTCCTGATAATGTGTAAGTGAGTGAATTAGTGAATAGCGCTGGTCAAAGTGTGCGAAGTGAAGAGTGGGGGGGAAGGTGCGCGTTAACTGAAGAGTTGAGAGTGGGTATGAAGATGGTTGCACGTTGGGTTCAGTGCAAAAGGGGCTGTACCAAAAAGTTGTGGAATTCCGGGAGATTTCCGGGAAACAGAACAATACAGGAGAGGGGCGAGAGATGGGTCTGAAATATGGCACACTCCCAGGAAAAACAGGAGTGCTGGCAGGTATAATGCAAAGAAAGCATGGTTTTAGGGATCACGTTAGTGTTGAGGCCACTATTTCATGATGATGCTGTGAAAAAGAGCAAAAGCCTTCTATGATTAAGCATAGATTCACCTTCTACAACTTCTTAGGAGCTTAAAACAATGCTTTAGGTGCACAAACAGTGCTTTACGTGCTCAGCAGCAGCAGCGCACAAAGCTATTGTTTTATAATAATGGAGATGACGAACTTATGATTGAAATGCTTCATTTTATTTTAGTGCTCCTAACATTATCAGATCTAAACCTGCATAAACTAATCTGAACAAGCGTATAAACTCTCATTGGTTTTTGACCAATGTTTTTGTTTTTTCCTGTATGGATTAGATGTTATATAATGCTATCTCAGCAGAAATGCTATTTTTATAATACTGTTTTGTGAGGTCTGGATTAATGACGTGGCTTTTCTATGTCTATTAGTTTATTCAGTGGATTAAAAGTGACTTCTTATATAAATTTATCAAAGAAAAAAACTGATATGAAATGTTCAGAAATTCAGAAAAGCTATGGAAAAGATGGTGTTTTTTAATGGATCTATTACCTACACTCATTTCAACACTTTCTTCATACATCGCAATGGTCTGTTTTGCAGACACTGACCATGGGTCCGTTCTTCGTACTTCGCTTAAATGATCTAAGATTATTTGGCAGATCCTGGATCTTTTAATCTTGATAACTGATCTCTCGCTAATTTGGTTCTTCAAACAAGTTCGCGAATCATATTAGAATGTCTGGATAAACTGATCTGAGATCGCTGCGTGTGTTGTGAAGGACAGATCTATCGATCCTCGAAATCATGATCAGCAATGCAATGATTGGCTGACGGCACAGCAGCGTAATGACATCATCTGATTTATATTTAATTATCCATGTGAGCAAAATTACATCAAATTAGCAGTAAACGGCTTGTTAAATATGACACGCAATAACCTTCCACATTTGTTGTGAGCTGCAGGCTTTCCATTTTCATGCGTCAAGAGTATTCATCATGTATTTCAATGCAAATCAGTGTATTTAGTTCTACATTTAGAAAAGATTTTCTTTATTATAGTAGCCGTTTTTTAATCGGTGTAAAGAATAACAGGTTGTTTACAAAAGCGTTTTCATATTGGTAAAGGCGTCTGCAACTTTTGAGAAGCATCAAATCACCGGCATATAAACTATCAAAACATGTTTATGACTGCTGAAATGTATTATTGCTTTAAAAAAGTCACATATTGTGCATTTCTATTATACACAATTTATACTAAAGCAATATAAAAAGTTCATATCAATAAGTTTTCTCTTTGCACCACCAGGTGGCAGTCTTTGTACTTTTATTTCGAGGGTGCAGATTGCATACGTTTTATTAATATGTATAACTTAATTTATTTTTTTAATGACTATAACTTTATTATATATATAGTTAAAAAATATGTACCATTTTCCCAAGTGTATATAACTACTACTGTAAGAAAATATCAGAATTCGGAACATACTTTCTGTATTATCTTTGCTTGAATTAAGCCGATCTAATCCTGTTTATATGAATTGAACCTGCTCCTGATCATGTTTGAGCTAGCAGAACTGTTGCTATGAAAACAACTCTCGGATCAGCTTTGAAGAACGAAACGATCCTGGATCGTATCAAATCGTCAATATCCAAATCCAGCTAACTGAGTAATCCACATACGAAGAACGGACCTCATGTATCTGACCCACCTGTAGGCGTTGAGTGAGGTACTGTGTCTCCAGACTCTGTCTCCTAGACAGCAAATAAGGGTGCATTTTTCCAGTGAATGTCGATGGATCTTTTCCACCAAGACATGGCCGTCCTTCTCCCTGAAATTATTATTTTAACATCAGCATAAATCACAGAGAACAAACAATAAAAAACAAAGAAAAACTAAATCATTAATTTCACATTTAAAGGGGACCATATTATAATTACACTTGATAAAAACAGAAAATCTGCAGAAAAACTTTGCACATGTCAGTAGAGGTGGAAAGCCCCACCAATTAGTGACCATCACTCCCTTATTAGCATAACTAGCCCTGGCTAAGATCCAGCTGTCCATCATTAGTTTTCATCTGCTTATAATGATGATAATAGGTGCGTTCGACTTCATGCAGCGCTGTTCAGACTGATTAAAATCTGTCTTAAAGCAGTGCATGCCGGTTAGAAATTTTGTTCGGATTGATGCTGCGCCGACGCCACATAACTATCTCATGTAGCATTAAAGTATCACAACAGCGCTCCGAGATCAGACGATTGATTCAGCCGGTGCAGCATCTACATCAGGACTGCAGGTGCTGTGATGACAACACCGATATTACACGATTGGCTGAGTTCACCGCATGACAATAACCGAGTGCGTTTTGCATTTATTATTGGACAACTTTTGTCTCACAAACTTCCAAACGAACAGTTCACTTTTTAAACCATCTCTATCTTGCACATATCATGCTTGTCATGCAAATATTTTACTGCAGTAGGCCTAATCATCTTTTTTGTAAAATAATTTGTTTCTAAAGGCTTGATTGTTTGCATAGGTCTATTTTCGACCATTTTTTTATTTATTTATTTGAATTAATTGAATACCATTTATTTGAATTTATACCGACAGTCACCAAAACAACACAATTTGGATCAAAACCTTAACGGGACAGGTTCAAAGATACTATACAACATTATTTGTGTGGTATTTTGAGCTGAAACTGCATACACACTACAGAGACATTTTTAAAGACTTTTTTTTACATCTTGTAAAGGGGCATAATAGGACTCCCTTAAGGTCAAAATACTATAATGTATAAAAATATTTATTTATAAAAATGTATTGAAATGATCAAATAAATTGAAAGCAGCACAAATGTGTGTCTGACCTGGTGGTTGAGCGGATGGTGAGGCTCTAGGAGCTCCCGAGGGCTGATCATAGTGTTTCCGCATGCTCCACCATCTCCTAACACGATCTGTGCTTTATTGAGCTCCAGGAAGCCCTTGGTCCTGGCCAGGTTCTGGATGTGATGTCTGAATGCCACCAACCCTGTGAAACCGTGGGTTCAATAAAAATACGGCAGACTTTAGTGAGTGGAAGCGCTGGAGATATTTTTTTGAGTGCTGCAGGGGTGCTCTGACTCACACTCTTCACTACTGCTATAATTAACACAGGAGTGAATCACTCCGATTATTTTCGGCTTTTTAAAAGTGGTCATTATTCACAGAAGGTTAGATATCAATCAGAATGAGGGGTATTCATCTGCTAACAATAAATCCTCCAAAACACAGATTATGACACGTAAATACATGCCTACAGAGAGTAAAGCGGTGGACAGAATTCATACGTGGGCTTCATTCATACGCATTATGGACATGCAGATTGTGTCTTTTTGGATATTATGTTCAAATTTGATGAATTCTAGCCTGTGATCTATTCTTTATAGTAAAGTAACAGTTGACTATGTAGTATCTACAAGTAACAGAATAACGCTTGTTTAAAAATAAAGCATGAAGGGCTTTTTCATTTTTGCAATTTTTCACAATACATCATCGCAGAGCTTGCAGAGGTTCGATTTGGGTTCACGCGACATGATTTATATATTACAATTTTGAATTTAAAGCAATAAATATTTACAAAACTATAATTAGCGAAAAAAAAAAATTTTTCTTTGATACCTGGAAAGGAATATTTGACCCTATCGATTTACAATATACTGATGCCTATTTTTTGGGCTTTATTGGTGATAATGGTCAGGAATGTTGGACCATTATTGCCTTTTTAGCATAAGTATAGAGCAGAAACTAGCCAGACAGTAATGTGTAAATTATGGAGTGGGCTAAATCAAAAAAAAAAAAAAAAAAAATCTGTATTCTTTATTAAGTGTACTTTTTTGCTTTTATTTTTGCCATAATAAAAATATATTTGTAGAGCAAACAATGTTCTGTTGTCATTAATATTTTAATCAATTATAATAAGTAGAATTGTTCAAAATAAAAATCTTGAATGGAAATAAAAATCCTTATAATTATTAAAATAGTTAATAAAGACAATAAAAATCATTTGTTTAAAAATCTTGATCGATATTAATGATATGACGTAGTTCCGGAAACTTCCTCCTTATATGTTTATCTGTCGGATTTTACAGTCAGTTTGTTTTGAAGTCGTTTTAAAGAATATCACACTGGCAAATGCAGCAAGTATAAAAGCATCGTCCATTTCGTGAGGTGCGTGCACAGTCAGCGGATGTGCGTGATGCAGCACCTGACGAAAGTATAAATCCTGCTTCTGTCACCTTCCTTCCCATTTTGATGCCCGTTTTAAACTTCAGCACACTGTCATGTGATTGGCTGATTGGATGTTTGATTAGCAGCTGATCCAGTGAGCACAATAAAGTGGCCAGTGAGTGCATGTTGACCTTCAGTCCAAAGTCATTTTTTACCATGCAGAAATGCAGTGTGCCCACCCCTCGACACGAAGAATTATCGAAAACGTGATGGAAAACAAAAATGAAAAAGAACATGCACAAGAACACAAATCATCCTGACCTTGTGTGAGAGAGGTGTCTGAAGCCCTTCGCCCCTCTCGGAAGCTGACTAATGAGTGATTGTGTCCCTGTGGATTGAGCGTCTGCAGGCAGGCTTCAGGCGGCTTCATGCTGAGGAAGACTGGAGCTGTGGAGCCGGCAGGTGTAGAGTTTAATGCTGGACTCTCTTCAGGAAAGCTGCAGTCGCTCTGAGTTGAACCCATACTGTACTGCGAGTCCATGCTGCTGAGGGACGGGTTCAGATCTGCACACACAAACTTTCATTGTAAATCAAGTGTATACTGCAGGGGTGTAAAGATTACTCCATCACCGCTGTAATGAGATGCCAACAGTAGTGATGTAGCATTACTGTCATCATTTTCAGTAATTTTTTAAATATTTTGCTCATAAAAGTCATGCTCATTGGCTCGTGTTTATGTTCTAATTTTGAACTACAACCTCAAATTAGAAAAAGTTTGGACAGTATGGAAAACACAAATAAACAAAGAAAGTAGTAATTTCCAAATTTACTTTGACTTATATTTCTTTGCAGACAATAAAACACACAATATTTCATGTTTTGTCCGGTCAACTTCATTTCGTTTGTAAATATATATCCTTACCTGTCATTCAGACCTGCAATACATTCCATAAAAAGTTGGGACAGGAGCAATAAAGGGCTAGTATATTGGTTATAATGATGTGATTTAAAACAGGTGATGTCAACAGGTGTGTGTAATTATGATTTGCTACAAAAGCAGCATCCAAGAAAGGTCTAGTCCTTTAGGAGTAAAGATGAGCCGGGGATCGCCAGTTTGCCAACAAATAGGTGAGAAAATTATTGAAATGTTTAAAGGAAGACTTTTCTGATTTAGGGTTCTATATAGGTAATAATCGTTTTGTTCTTATGTTGAAGGGTTTATTAAGAAAAAAAAAATTTGGGGGAAGTCTATTAAACATATGGGGGGATTCTTATTTTATGTATCTAATAATTGTTATTAATTAAATACTAAAAGTTACGTATTTTGTGATTATCATTATAGGTTGAATTTTATTGGGATCATTGTTTTTGGCTAATTCAGCTCTGGTCAAATGAAAGTTAAAACTACTTGGTGATCACATATTCGTTGAGAACTTTTAGTACTGCAACATAATGCATGATTTATATTACAAAGTATAAATACATTCACCTTATGCTGCATTGTCATTTTAAATTTAAAGTATTTGCTTTTTGTGTTTGTATTTTTCATCTTTGTACTTATGCAAGTCTTTAAGGTTATTTTAACAATGGACTTGGCTTATTTTCTTTCTTATTATTATGTAAAGCACTTTGAATTCCTACTGGGTCGCAATGGATGCTTTATAAGTACGCTTGGCTTGGCTTGACATGCAGTAAGTGACATGAGCAAAATCAAAGAGACACAAACTGTCTACTAAAAAAAAGCTCTCACTGCCTGTTAATGTTAGTGGAAAACATATCAGAAGTGGTTCATCTTCGATGCCCAGTTTTCTCTAGAACTCCATGTCAAGTATTCCATGCAAAAACTGATTTAAGAGCTAGTAGAGCAAGTGTCTGAGTCCTTAGTCTTTTTATGAATCCAGTAGGCATGAATAAGTAATCTTAAGTTTCAAGTTGTGTCATCATTTTGGTTATAAAGATATATGTATGTATTTGGACTTTCAGCTGTGAAAATTAAACCACACTGAACTGAACTAAACTGAACTTCAACTCTGCAAACTGAACTGACACAGTTTCCATTTACTAGAACTTTAATGTTAAGCTGCTTTGACAACATCTACATTGTAAAAGTGCTTTAGAAATAAACATGAATTGACTTCAATATATAGAATAATAAATGCAAGTAAAGTGTCTACTTAATGTTTGTAATATTCAAAAAATGGGAGAAATAATGTTTCACTATCATTCAGTGAAATTGAATTCTTATTCTGACCTATTAAATTTTTATATATATAGTTATGAATAAGCGAATTAATAACTTTTGGTAAATTGAATAAGATTTTAAATAATTAATTCCTGCTGAAATCACATCAAAGTGTGGACTTAAAATGAAAATTTAGCATTTTGTAGTTAAGCAGTGACTTTTAAAAACATTTAATATGATGTGATATAATATCTTTGGCTGCGTCCAAAGTCGGATACTTCCATATAGTACGCTAAAATGGTATACAAGCAGAGTATGTCCAAATTCAGAGAATTCGTCAAACAGCATGCGAGAAATACTCTGATAACCTACTACTTTCGGCGAGATTCTGAAGTGTGCATCCGATGCACTCTATGCTATCCCATGATACTCTACGAAAGAGTTTGTAAAAGGAGTGAAGCGACGCAACTAATGTAGGTAGGTCATGTGATCATGACAAAATGGCGGATTTAGAATGTCTGAATCTACTCGCATTCATATTGTATAAAACGCACTTTTATAACTGTTGAGTAGTAAATTTCAATTCAAATGCAGTACCTACTGATTAGTAGTAAGCGGTTTCGGACACAGCTAATATATTTAAAAATGTATTTTAATATATACTTTTTTTTGTATACTTTTTTTTTTTTTACATTTGACATTTTAGTGGCTGACCCTAAACATTGTATAACAGTCTTAATTTTTTTGCTAAGAAAAAGAATGCAGCAGTACACATCTTTTAATAGATTTGGACATTTTTCTATTATTTGCTTATGTATTTTATTAGTTATTTACAGCAATGTTATCATCATTCAAAAATTTGGAGTCAGTTTTTATGTTTTTTTAAAACTGTCTATTCATCAAATACTACTGAATAAAGTATCACAAATTTCCCAAACACTATTAAACAGCACAGCACTAATGATTTAAAATTTTTTACGTTTCTTAAGCACCAAATCAGCCTATAAAAATGATTCCTAAAGGGTCATTTGACACTGAAAACTTTAAGAATTAAAATGCTGAAAATTCAGCTTTACCATCACAGGATGTACATTTAATAATTTCAATATATTCATATATTTAACAAAAATATGACTCTTTTCATTGTAAGGGTTAATCAGATAATTGCAATTATAAGTGTAATCTTCAAGGGGACCATTCCGAAAAAAAAAAAAAAAACTGCAAAATTGTGACTGCAATATCTATATTTATTAGACTCGGTTGTGTTTTGCACACAGTACTGACCTGTAAGGGGCTGCGCAGCAGGTTGGTTGGTGACCTCAGACAGCGTGTGGCGGCGCTGGCTGAATCGAGCTGTATGAAAGGCGGCGAGGGGAACAGTGTGCTCTTCCTCCGCTTCAATGCCCTCATCAATGGATGTCTCCATAACGTTGCTAGGCAGCGAGCCGCTGACTTTGCGGACCACGACTGGAGGAAGCGGATCCAGCAAGCAGCCGTCCACCTGACATACAAATAAACACACACTGTTGGCAAAACTATTTTGGGCTCAAACAGCTCAGCACTCTCCAGTTTCAAGATCTGACAAAGAAATCAAAACTAAGAGTCAATCAATGTCACTTCCAAAAGAGACAAACAAAATGCTTTGTAATGGAAATGAAAGAAGAAATATCAGTGAATAAAAGTTAAAGTCTTGGAATAGAAATTAATCTACAATGCTGATTGATTTGTGTTGGGACAACATGAAGGAATCAAACTAACTGATTAATATTTACAAATTAAAGTGGATTGACCATAAAACAATTAAATTATCCCAAAACAAACTCAAGAATTGTGTTGTTTCGGCTCATATTAATAGAGTAGTTTGAAAAAACAACAAATGTCATTTTTTCACAGTGTATCTGACAAAAGTCTTGGTGCCTATCCAAGTTTTAGGAACAACAAATAATAACTTGACTTCTAGTTGCTCATTTGGTATTAGAAGTGACTCTTATAAAAGGCAAAGGCCTCTAGATTACGCTTGTTTATACCAAAATAAAATATGATCATGCCTTAATTTTTAATGATTTAATTATATCACTAAGGTCTGACTTTGCTTAGACAAACACTTAACAGAAATAATGTACAGTAAGGAATATAAAGTCATGGAGCAGTGGAAAAAGAAAGAATATTGTGTATGACTCCCATGAGCTTGGAGGACTGCATCCATACATCTCTGCAATGACTCAAACAACTTAATATTAAAGTCATCTGGAATGGCACAGAAATATTCTTGCAGGACTCCCAGAGTTCACCAAGATCCTTTGGATTCGTCTATCCTGCTGAAGAATTTGCCCTCTCTTGTGGTTTGTAATGTAATGGGCAGCACAAATGTCTTGATACCTCAGGCAGTTGATGTTGCCATCCACTCTGCAGATCCCTCACACTCCCCCACAGTGAATGTAACCCCAAACCATGATTTTTCTCCATTAACCTTGACTGATATCTGTGAGATTCTTGGGTCCATGCGGGTTCCGATAGGTCTTCTGCAGTATTTGTGATGATTGGGATGCAGTTAAACAGATGATTCATCTGAAAAAATCTACCTTCTGTCACTTTTCCAAATGATCGACTAAAAGTCAAGTTATTATGTGTTGCTCTGACAGTTGGAATCAACGACAAGACTTTTGTCAGGTGTTGTATTTTTCTTTGCTTAAATGCATGGTACAGTATATGTCTTCATTTGAATGTTTCATCCTTGCGGTTCCTTTTCTTGACTTCCCTCCAATGCTGCATGCTGAACCTCTCCAACCAGCCTTATCTGCATAAAACTTACTCCTTTCTTACATTTGAATGCCAGCTTACATTCACATCTGCCTGAATCTGTCAACTCATCATGTTTTTTTTTCTTTTTTGATAATCTGTTTCTCTCAGATGTATCAGATGTACATCACATTGTAGAACAAAGGATCTGTCACTGTTCCCTGCTTTAAATGACACTCTTTTCTTCACAGGCAATTGTATGGCATCTGAAGATTTGGAACGCAGTATACTAGTAACAGGCTACTGCTTTTATTTAATTGAGTTGTGATTTCTTTAAAGTTTTAAAAATGTCAGGTTTCATTTCATAAAGATTCAAAACTTTATTTTTATGTTCAATGAAAGAGATAGATTATTAATTTGACATTATTAGCTGTTATTTTATTAACAAGAGTAATGTGTATTTTAAATAATAAAGCATATACCAGAATATGTCTGTTGTTCTTAAAATCAGTGTCCGAAATTCATTTTATTTTACATAAATATCAGCAAATATGATATTTTTACAGAGAGAGAGATCAGTTTTTAGATTTTCTAAAAAGCAAGGGTTCGTATTTTTTAATAATAACAGAGTTAATGATTTAAATTTTTTATTGTTTCCTCACAGCAAGAAGGTCACTGGCATTTCTGTGTAGAGTTTGCATGTTCTCCCCATGCTGGTGTGGGTTTCCTCCGGGTGCTCTGGTCAGTCCAAAGACATGCAATACAGGTGAATTGGCTGAACTTAATTGGCCGTAGTGTATGAGTGTGAATGTAAGAGAGTGTGGGTGTTTCCCAGTGATGGGTTGCAGCTGGAAGTGCATCCGCTGTGTAAAACACATACTGGATAAGCTGGCGGTTCATTCCACTGTGGCGACCCCTGATGAATAAAGGGACTAAGCGAAGGAAAATGAATGAATGAAGATTTTAACAACACTTGCATGTTCATAGTTCTCTGATGTTAGTTAAGGGTCACATAACCAAGAATTGACACTCTTTACTATGTTAACTCGCAACGCTACTTATGAGGTGGACATTTAATCTGTGCAAGTTCATCTATAAATGAAAAATACAAAATCTCAGCTCAAGACACTCTCATTGCAGCATTTGATGTACTTTTCCAGCATGAAAAAATGTATTTTTTAGATTGGAAATTCTTTGCTTAATTAGAAGTACATTCATAGGAATTATGCCATAATTAGTCCAACTTTAGGCCTTCAATTAAGTTTTTTTTTTCTGAAAAAAATTTTTTTTAGCGCCTGTTAACACTATAGGGAAGTCATGCATGCATGAAGGTCTCATCTATTGAGCTGGTTATCTGAAAACAGCATGGTGCTAGGACAGGAACTGAGAACCACTGAAGTAATGCTCACTTAATTATCACTAAATGCCCTGGCAGCAGCAAATAGCTTTGGTTTTAGATTTCATTTTAATGTTTAACTTAAGACTTACAAGATATTTACCCTGTTAATAATTACAGGAACTGCTATAAAAAAACCTCCATGTTATTTCCCCACTGAGCCTGGTTTTTCTCAAGGTTTTTTCCTTCACTTTCTTCAATTGGTGAAATTTTGTTCCTCACCACTTTCTTGCTTGGTTTCGGACTTGTGGAGCTGCGCATCGATGGATTTGCTTTTCAGTGTATGGACTTTCAGCAGTGAATTCGAAATCACACTAAACTGAACGAAACTGAATTTCAATTGTGTTTGGACTAACACAATTTCTATGTTAAGCTGCTTTTTTCCATGTTAAGTACTATAGAAATAAAAATATCTTTACATATATCATAAAAAGTGCTTATTACACTTCTTTTAAATTTATTGCAAATAAAAATGTTTTTATCTAGAAAAAAATGTGATCTAAAATGTGATTAATCATGATTTAAAAAAAAAAAATCATAGTTACCCTGCACTCATTCATTCATTTTCTTTCAGCTTAGTCTGTATTTCAGAGGTCGCCACAGTGGAATAAACCGCCAAATATATCAGCAAAAAATTTACATAGTTCTACACCCTTCCAGCTGCACACACACACACACACACACACACACACACACACACACACAACGGACAATTTAGTTTATTCAATTCACCTGCATGTCTTTGTACTGTGGGGAACACCGGAGCACCTGGAGGAAACCCACGCCAAGAACTTGCAAACTCCACACAGAAATGTCAAATGGCCAAGACGGGACTCAAACCAGCAACCTTCTTGCTGTGAGGCGACAGTGCTAACCACTGAGCCACCATGCCTCCCGTTACCCAGCACTTATTTTAGCTATTTAAAAGTGTATTGCTCATTCATTACAATAAAGTTTCATTAGTAAATCCATTTAGTATCATGAGCTAATTATGAGCACTATACTTGTACAGCATTTATTACTCATAGTTCAACATGTACTAATGTATTATTAACATCCAAATTCATGCTTGTTAAAATGAGTTAGCAATGAACAACTGTATTTTCAAAAATTAAGGTTAACTAACATGAGCAAAAGCAATAATAAAAGTAGTGTTCGTTATTTATGTTAGTAATTGCATTAACTAATACAACCTTATTGTAAAGTGTTACCAATTTATTTTAGCAAGGTAAATTGCCAGTATTTATGCTGTTACATTTTCTTTATCAAATACAGAATTCTGTCATGAAACTGCATGTGCAGGCTCTGGATTTGATGGGATAGGCTTATGTGAAGGCGATAGCTGTTCCCTCATCATTCAACTACTAATGTATTTGCACTAGCAATCCGCACCACGTTTGTAATATATATATATATATATATATATATATATATATATATATATAGTATAAAACATCTATAATAAGTGAAGATAATATTTCACTCTCCATATTTGTGTTATTTGTCTGCTTATTATTTGAAGTGAGACTGGATTTAAGTCAAACTACATATTAACATCTTTTTGTGCATGTATAAACATAACGCAATATTTGCACAACTGTGTTTATACAGAAGAAACAGGTTAAAGTTTATAACTTTGTGTTTCAATGGGGTTAAATACGGTCATACTACAAGGTTGGCACAAATATATGGCTCATCCAGTCACTACAAGGTCATGCTAAATGTGTTTGACTGATTCAAGCTGCATCCGAAAGCATCATTTGCTTGTTTGTGTGCTTGTGAGAGGCTCGTGCACAGTCTTAGATCTTGTCCTTACATAGAGGAAACTTTAAATAACTCATCATTTTGCATCATGCATAAGTGAGAAAGGCATCCAGAATTTGTTTTCACCCATTTGGGTTCCCTTGAATAAGTCACTAATGAGCATATAGACACTTTTTTACATAGTTTCTTCTTCTTTTCTTGGTTCTGTTAATGTGTGGGTTTGTCACTGTAATATATTTTGTGTATTTTGGGTGCTGCAGGTCTGTATTATAACCTCTTAATTAGTTGTCTGTGTGAAGTCATAATTAGTTGTTTGTCAATATAAAACCCTTGGGAAAATCAGGATCTTTATATTTTATAATACTGCTTTATCATGTTCCAAGTGGCACATTCATTGAAACATTAATTTAGATTTATTTACAGAGGATGGCAATGATATATTCATGTTTCCCATTTATACTTGCTCAGGTGGTTGCTGGCTTTGTTTATCAGCCTGCAACCTGAAATCTTTTGTAACAAACACACATAGTATACGTTTTTAGAGCTAAGTTGGTCTGCAAGGTAGCCCAGGTACACATAGATAGTAAAATATGCAGTCTCAT